CAGGCCCGGGCTGGGGATTCGAACCCGCCACCTTAGGTGTATGTGGCTGGCGCCTTAGCCGCTTGAGCCACAGGCGCCGAGCCAAATTTTTAATTTTTACATTGCCTTTTCTCCTAGGTGAAGTGTTCGTCTTAAATGATGGTGGAGAAGTTGACTTAGACCTTGGAAATTATGAAAGATTTTTGGATATTAACCTTTATAAAGACAACAACATCACCACTGGGAAGATATATCAGCATGTGATCAATAAAGAGAGGCGTGGTGATTTCATGGGGAATACAGTGCAAGGTATATTCCACAAACATGATCAATGCTGAGTAACAGCATATTCCTCAGCAATAGGGGGGAAAATGTTAATGGTTCCTGTGTTCTACAGGTTCTAATCCTTTTTAATTTCTTTCATTTTTTTGTTTTAATTTTCCTCAAAAATGTCAAGTTCATTATCTTCCTCCTGATTATGTTTTCATCAGTTCTTTTGTCTTTTTCATTCATGTCATTGTTCTTCTTAGTCTCTCTCTCTTTTACCTTTGGTGTGGAAAATCTGTGGAGAGACATTTTATCTATCTATTGATCTATCTATCTGTCTATTTAATGTCACTCTGGCTAGGGTTCTATGGCATCACAACTCACAGCAACCCCAAATTCCTTGGTTGAAGCAATCCTTTGTCTCAGCCTCCAAAGCATGTAGGACTATAAATATCTGCCACGAAGCCAGGCTAGTTTTTTTGTTTTCAATAGAGATGGGGTCTTGTCTTGTTCTTGCTCAGGCTGGTCTTAAACTCCTGGTCTCAAGTGATCTACTCGCTTCCACTTCCCAGAGTAGTAGGATTACAGGTGTCAGCCACCATGCCCGGCCTAGAGCTACATTTATTCACCACATTTACCTAGTTGGAGTGCAGATTTGCTTTTTATCTTTTATTCGGTGTGTTTTTTTTCTCCCTTTTTAAAAATACCTTTGCATAGATGATGATTACTTACCTTTGGAGAAGGTCAGTGTTAGGGAGGGACTGGAGCACCAGGCAGCATGGTCGGGTGATTCTTGACTCTTTCCTCAGGTGGTATGATTGTCTTTTGTCTTATGACCCTCCCTCCCACCGCTCCCTATACCCTCTGAAGTCTTGTGTTTATACATACCTTTATGGTAGGGTAATGATGATAATTCCTCCTTCTCATCACTTTCATGTTGTAACCAGCTAAGAAGTAGACATAGGATTCAGACAGATGACCATCAGAACATTAGCTATGCTATTGCTGAAACTGGATAGTGTGTGTAGATCTCAGCTGCAGTTGTGCTTTCTAATAGCTCACCTTCCTGCCATGCCTAAATCTTAGGAAGATGCACTGGAAGGAGAGTGGCTACCTCACACCTTTCACATCCCATTGTTGGGGAGAGGGTAAGGAACCCCTAACGTGCCCATGTGGAGGCAGAGCCCAGCAGTCCCCACTCTCTCAGGTAGGGACTGGTTGGGGATGGGCAATGGATGGGTTCCAAGTTTACTAATTAGAGATGACTTTCTCCTACCTTTTTTTTTTTTTTTTTTTTTTGAGACAGAGCC